TCCCCACATTCAAAATGAGGTTAATAATGCCTTCACCTTCATGTCATGTGAGAATGCTTTTCGTTTGTTTTCAATGTATCTGAAAGCTTCCAGTACAAAAGATGTCAATTTATCATAATTAGTTTGAGGGAGGTGCTAATTGGCAGTGACAGCTCACCTCACTGACACTGAAAATTTCTGGAAGCTACAATTTAATACATTAATCATTAATACAGGATGGGAAATGCTCAGTGATTCCCTCCACATGAACTTTAACAAAAGGTATTCTTAGTTACTTCCCTCCAAAGAACAAACTATTAGCAATAAAACTCCATGAAATCTCAATTACACCCTCTCAGAAGCTTGCAAATATGTTTAGTAAAACGCATTGCTTCTGGGTTTCTTGGTAGCCAATTATCCTCTTGAGAGATCAACCTCTTCTCCCCCTTTCTCATCATTTCAGACCTGTTAGAATTACTATGACAAGAAATTTCAAGGTGAGGAAAACTGAAAGCCAAATCAAACATTTTCAGTATTGTGACTAGCTTTGCTTCAAAGTTGATGAGAGAGGAGATGGTTGAGTATTGGCAGAAGAGACTATAAATTTCACTACTGGTTTATATTGCTGTCATCTCCCACCCTCTGTTCACTCCATCTCGAGGTTACTTCCTTTTATTTCTTGAAGAGTTCAGCACCTGACTCTCTAAGTGTAGCCATTCTCTCCAAAACTACCATTGTCATAATTGTTGGTTTTAATACTCATTCTAAGTAGTCATTCCAATACCCAGCTCTGTCAGTTCCTTTCCTCCAGTCCTCTTGCATCCACCCTACCTCACTCAGCCAGTCACGATCATGGTTACACCTTGTATCAGTGTATTAGGGCTGCCATAACTAATACTACAGAGTAGGTCACTGAAACAACAGAAATTTATTTCTCATAGTAATGGAAGCTATAAAAACAAGATCAAGATGTCAGCAGGTTTGGTTTCTCTTGAGATTTCTCTCCTTGGCTTGAAGGTGGCCACCTTCTTGTTGTGTCCTCCTATGGTTTTTCCTCTGTACACAGGAATCCCCAGTAGCTCTCTGTGTTTTCAAATTTCTTCTTATAAGGATACCAGTCAGGTTGGATTAGGTCCCACCCTAACAGCCTCATTTTAACTTAATCACTCCTTTAAAGGCCCTATCTCCGAATATAGTCACATTCTGAGGTTATGGGGATTAGGGTTTCAACATATGAATTTTGAGAACACAATTCAACCTATAACTTACCTTTAGACTTTGTCTTCACCAATTCATAAAACATCTTAATCTCAAATTTGAAGATCCCACTTCTTAATCACTGAATTTTATCTTTCCAGTTCTTTCTCTCTCTGCTGCACAAAACCACACTGTGACAATCTGCAAATCCAACCCTCTTTTTTGCTGTTCCTCACATTCTCTCATGTCCTTATTCAGATTAAGTCCCACAGTCTATTATTATAATCACTCCATTACATATATTCTTGATTCCTTCACCCCTCTCTCTTCATGGTACTTGCCTGGCAAAGTCCCAGGTTTATTCCAGCTTTCTCTCTACCTCTGCAGCTGAACTTGAACACTCAACAGTGCTTCCCGGTCTCACTATGAATTCATGACCTCATGGGGGACTTCAGTGCCTACTATTAATCCTGCCACATTTCTCTAGATCATTCACCATACAACTTTTTTAGGCAACTGTTTCATACGTTCTCTTCTCTCTCCAGACCTCTAATACCCTCTCCCTATCTTCTCACTCTCTCTGCTGATAAACTTTCTTTCACTGAAAAAAGCAGAAGCAATCAGAAGTTTCCACTACCTCCTTTCCCATATGCTCTGTCTTCCCTTCTGTTACTAGGACTGAAGGGCCCACGCTGCTGTCTAAGGCCAGCTCCTCCATTTCTGCACACACTCCCAACCCTTCTCACTTACTCAAGGGCACTCACTGTTTCAGCCATTCTCTATCTATCTACCTACCTACCTACCTACCTACCTATCTATCATCATCTATCATCTATCTCTCTCAGGTTGTCAATCCCTACATCCCTGCTCCACCCCAATAAAAACATTGCTATCAGTATACAAACACGCTATAATTTTTCTCATTAAATGTTTCACCTTGACTCCCACTTTCCCTCCAGCTACTGTCCCCTTCCTCTGCTCTCCTTTATAGCAAAACTTTCCCATAATGTTATTTCCCTCTGTCTCCAATTCCTCTCTTCCCATTCTCTCATGATCCCACTCCAGCTGGACTCTCATGTCTATCCCACCACTATAGCTCCTTTTTTCAAGGTCATTAGTGACCTTCACATTGCTAAATCCAGTAGCCAGTGCTCAGGTCTCCCGTATTACTTGCTCAATAGGGCAGCGTTTCACTCAGGTCGGATCACTTCCTCCTCAACTAGGAAACTGGACTTCCAGGATAAGCTCCTGGTTTTTCTTCTACTCACTGATCAGTTCCCAGCTCCCTCATTTCCCAAAACTCAATTTATTGAACTGCCTAGGATTTAGTCTTCAGACCTCTTTCTGCCCATACTCATTTCCACAGTGTTTTATGGCTTTAAATACCATTTAAATACTCCATCGCAGACCTCTCCTCTGAACTTCATATTTGTGTATCCAACTGCCTAATTGGCATATCCACTTGGATTTCTAATAGGTTATCTCAAAATGTGGGATGCCTAAAACTGACCACCTCATCTCCCCCTCCCAAACCTACTTAATTCACTGCTTTGCTCATTTCAGTTAATGACAACTGCATTCTTCAGGTTGCTCAGGCCCCAAACTACATAGTCATATTTGACTCCTCTCTTCTTTCTTCATTTAATCTGATCTGTCACCACATACTTGGCTCTGTCTTCAAAATGCATACAGGATCCATCTGTATCTCACCATCTCTGCTACTGCCATCATTGTCTGATTCGCTATCATTCATTTTAAGTCTGGATTGTTGAAATGGCTTCGAAACTCACCTCCTTTCTTTCACACATACCCTTACAACCTATTCACAACACAGCAGCCAGAGTGAGCCTTTTAACATATCAAGTCATTTTTCTACTCAAAACTAATTTCAGATATTACTATTCTTCCCCTCCCTCACCTGGCTCCAGCCGCAGTGGTCTTTTTGTTGTGGCTCACTTCTACTTCAGGGCTTTGGCACACTTGCTGTTCTCACTGCTTGTAATACTTTTTCTCAAATTCTCTGCATGGTTGACACCCTCCACTTCCTTCAGATCTTTGCTCAAATGTCACCTTCTCAGTAAGGTCTTCCTTGACCACCCTTTTTAAAATGATATCCTCATCCTTATTCTCTAGTACTCTTAGTTGTCCTTTCCTGATTTATTTTATTCACACTTATCACTACCTGATAAGCTATATGTTTTACTTACTCATTTTTTTATTGTTAGTCTTCCCTATAGTAGAATGTAAGCTCCACAAGTACCATGATTTTGGACTGTCTTGTTCAATGATCTCTCCTCAGCTCTTAGAACCATGCGGCACAGAGGTGCTCAATAAATATTCAACCAAAAATGTTACTGTTTTCCTTATCGTCGCAAGGACTCTAGTAAAAATGATTTTAGGTTGCTTCTATGTCCCTGGGGGAAAAATTTAATGATGAGACTTTGTTGATGCTCTTTGCTCAAAACACTAGAGCAGTGATTCCCAAAGTGGGCGCTACCACCCCCCGGTGGGCGCTGCAGCGATCCAGGGGCGTGGTGATGGCCACAGGTGCATTTGGGGGCGATGAGTAACTGCTATTAAAATTTAAAAAAAATTAATTTCCAGGGGCTGAGTAATATTTTTTCTGGAAAGGGGGCGGTAAGCCAAATAAATTTGGGAACCACTGCACTAGAGGAAAAAAGGCACTCCATCAGGAGGTGCCAAGAAACCTCATTAGCATTGTCACAGTGTAAGACTGCTTGTTTCTAGGTTTGTTTTGTTTTAATCTAAAAGTGGCTTCAAGTATCTCAATTTTTTAAAAAAGTATTAGTATAATACAATTTAGAATTATTCATATAAAAATAAGCTTTTATTCTCTTATTAATAATATTTTATGGAGGACAATAATAAATTAAATATTTCTGGAATCAAGATTTTAAGAGTTCATGATACAGAAATCTAGGTCAGAGAGAAGATCATGACCTCCTGTATTATTTATATTCTTATAACTGCTGTTTTTATTATTAATAATGGCTCCCATTTGTTGCCTACTTTTCCTATATCACCTGACACTGCATAATAATCTCATTTAATTGCACACATATCATTTAATGTTCACATTATTCTTGTGGGGGAGGTACTATATGTTATTCCCATTTCACACTGAGACAGTTGAGATTTGAGAAAGTGAAGTCAAGCAGGATTCTGAGATTCTGAGGTTACCAATATTCTTGGCAATGAGGTCAGGCAATCTTTGAATTCTTTACCATCACTGTCTACATCGTTTCTAACATATTAGCACCAAGATTCCTTCCCTCAATCCTCGCCTCACGTCACCATAATCAGAGGGGATCTGTGGCTCTTTAAATTTAGGAAAATTATTTGGGAGAAGAATTCTTAAATCCTTATTTCAAAATTATTACTCACAAAATCTTAATCAAATTGCCCAACTTTACTCACTCCCTTTTCCTAAGCAGTAAGAAAGATATGAATTTATCCCTGTTATTGTTTTTCAGAGAGGTAGAGGAAATAGACATGAACTCTTGGTGTTGCGACCATGAACTCAGCCACTGTGATGTCTTATTTTTCTCAACCATCAGCCTGTTTGTCCCTTTGTTTGTCTTTTTTGTGTCCCCTGCCATTTAAATAATGCTTGCTGAAGAAGGAGCCCACAATTAAGAAGACTGAATTAAAAACAGTATAAAATGACAGGACATTTGAGCAAACATACCACATGCCTACCATGCTCTAGTATAAGCTCTCTTAGTAGTTTTCTCTTTAATCCATTTCTACTGTTAGATGAAATTTGCCAGACTCAATGTCAACACCAGCTCCGACTTCCTTCTTAACATGTACTCGGGGTTAAGTGTGTAGCGCTCTAATCCAAAGGAAAATTACTTATTTTAAAAGCAGTAAAAACACAGCATTCCTCTGGCACAGGATGAAGACCAACTCAGCTCTTCAGTCCTAGATCATTATCTATTGTTCTCCAAACAGTAAACCACTCTTTCACAGCGAGAGGCTGTGGGTTGCAGTCCTGTCTGAATCCTGGGCTCCTCGTGAATAGGAAGTAAAGGGCTCTGACCTAGAAAGTGGAGGTAATGTAAAAAAAAGGGGGGGGAAGGGGGTTGGTTGGGGGAGATAGGTAGGATGAAAACAGGCTTTATGTAATTTTACACTCTTGTAATCTCCTGCAGGTTCTGAGCAGGGTAAAATGGGGTCTCAGAAATGTGGAGGCTGCCTAAGTGGTCTGCTGATTCCGCTTGCACTTTGGAGTATAATTGTGAATATACTATTGTATTTCCCAAATGGGCAAACTTCCTATGCATCAAGCAGTAAACTTACCAACTACGTGTGGTATTTTGAAGGAATCTGTTTCTCAGGTATCATGGTAAGTGTGATCTGGGAGACTGGGGATCACAAAAGGGGAAGTTTTTACTAAGAATTGCTTTGTTCCTACTAAAAGTTATAATAATAGTAAAATTGTTCCACTAATCCTGGGTTTGGGATTTGAAAGATGGGTAGGGTGGGGAGGCAAGTAGTCCCTTGGGACTTGAAGAGCAGCTTTGTGTTTTGGTTAGCTGTTCATTTTTGTAGCTTCGGCAAGACAGGAAATTGGTCCTAATAAAAGTTTGCGAGACTGGCCTATAGAAATAGTGTGTCCTCATGAACTCTGTGTGTCAACTTAAACCATTTAATCCCTAGTGGCACTGCTCTTTTCCAGAAAGCCTTTCTACCTGCACTCACAATTTCTCTAGCTTGATACTAAGACAGCACAGAAAAGCAGAGGCTTGGAGCTACACACAAATTCGCATTCAGATCGAAGCTCTGCATTTGTGCCATGAGACCTTGAGCAAGTTACTCAGTGTCTTGTCTTCATTTGGAAAATGGGGATAATGACATTTACTTTTCGGGTAGTTGTAGGCGTTGCATAAAATCTCATGTATGAAGTGCCCAGTACAGTGACTATTGTGATTATAAATACTTATCGAAGGATAGGCCATTTCATCGTTAAATAGTGCGACATTACACCCCTAATAATGGAGAGTAATATTGAAAACTAAATCAAATTATGCACGGTAAGAACCCATGAGTGTTTTTCTGATGACTCTTCTTTTAAAAAAATTAATCATGTTGGCAACTCAGAGGAAAAGACACTTTTCCTGGCCGTATCAATACTAAAAACAACACATTTTACACTGTAAGCTTACTATGCCACCAATAACTAAAAACAAATCCATTATAACCTATCTCTACATCTTTGTGGGGCTTTAATTTTTATAATACTTGAATAGTTATGTTGGAAAACAGTTTTCATTTTGTACTATTTTGCATACTAAATTAGTAAACTTTAAAATATTAATACCCATTGCTATTAAAACTACTATATGATATGTACATAACAAATGATGCAATGATTCTATAAATAAATGCCAACTTTTGGATGAATTTGAAATGATATATTAAGATTCATGAGAATGCTCTGTCTTCCAAGTCAGTAATCCTAAATCTGAGAATTCATTCTGAGGAAATAATCCAAAATAAGGAAAGAGATGTATACACAGATGTTTGTGGCAGCAGTATTTGTAATAGGACATAGTTAGAAGCATCCTAATATAGAAATAGCCAAGTAAACTGTATACATTCATTTTATATGGTGAAGAAAAATGTAATGATGAAGATCTAACAACAAGGAAAATGAACATTTTGTAAGTGAAAAAAGATATAACAAACTTGTGAATAAATTATGATTGCAACTATGTAAAATATACACAGCTGGGAAAACACTGGGGATACATACATGAAAACAAGTGAGGGTGGCAGAGCTATGGGTAACTTTCCTCCCTTTTTCTTGAGCCCTCTGTATTGAAGTTATGTTTTACAACAACAAAAAAAGAAAATTTTTCTTTCAACACAGGCCCAGCTTGTGTTTCTCTTTTGGCATAGGACTCCAGAGCTTACTTAGGTCTAGGTATTTCTGCCAATATTAAAATGAAGCTGGTTATCTCGTTTTCCTCCATATATCATTGTAGTAAATGGAAGAGTTGCAAGGCATGATTGGGTTAAAATCTATTAAAATCTGTGATAACTAATGTGCTGAAAGGAGGGTAACATAAGACTTCTTTGTTTATATTCATGTGAAATTTAAAACAGGGAAAGAACCTATTCTCTATATTTTATTGTCTAAGATTTTTTTTTGAAAAATATTATTGTTGCTACATCAAATCCTTTTAAGAGAAAGGAGAGGAATATAGATAAATAATTAAGTTGATTGATAAATAAATAAAGACTGAAGGAATTTGGAAACTGGAAATGTTGACCACAAGCAGTAAAATAGCAATGAACTTAGCTTCAAGATCCAGTACGGAACAGTGGGAGTAAAGGATGTGTGGAGAATTTGCCAGAAGCAATACATGCTCCATACCTGCCCCAACCATGAATTATAAAAATCAAGAAATTCATGTCTTTCCAGAACAAAATACAATGCTTTGCATAAGATACTAAAAAAAGGGGAAGTAGAATATATTGAATTCTCACAATTTGTTGGCTTGCTACAGACAAAACACTGGAAAATTTGTACCTAAGATGGCTTGAATGCATGGGGGAATTGACTTACTTTACTGCCCTAGCCAGTTTGGCTCAGTGGATAGAGTATCAGCCTGGGACTGAAAGGTCCCAGGTTCAATTCTGGTCAAGGACACATGCCTGTCAATGATTCTCTCTCATCATTGATGTTTCTATCTCTCTCTCCCTCTCCTTTCCTTCTAAAATCAATAAAAATGTATTTTTAAAAAAAGAACTATTTTTTCATATTCACCATGCATCTCACCTACAATCCCAGACAGCAATAAAAGGAGAGAGGCTTTGCAAACTGAAAATTTGTGAATGGCTTTCCTTTGTCTTTTACAACTGGGTCAATGAGAAATGCCAGGTGGTATTCCCATGTCCATACCATTTACTCCTCTTTAGTTGTTAGATTTTGATGACTGATTAACCATGATGATAATAGCTAACATTTATCAATTACTTACTATGAATTAAGTGCTATGTTCAAAATTGTACATACCTTATCCCATAATCTATTCTATATATATAAAAGCTCAATGCAGGAGCTGCCCCCTGGTGGTCAGTAAGCTCCCACAGCCAACCTGCAGCCGGCCAACCTCCAGTGGTCCCTCCCCCCTGCCAGCCTGCCTCGATTGGCCTCTATTGGCCCCGATCACCGGCCAGGCTTCATGCAATGGACCTCTAGTACTCTAATAACACCATTTATAAGAAGGACTTATGAGTTTACAGTTAAGGCAGTGGCAGATCTGGGATTTGAACCCAGATCTACCTGACCTAGAACCTATGCTCTGAATCACTGTGCTCAGATTATGAGTATGAATGTTCACTAGTACCTATTTCTGATCTTTTTTCTCTTCCCTATGGCAGATGCTCATGGTTGCAGTAGCTCTTCTTGTCCTAGAGAGTGACAACAATTGTCAATGTTGCCAAAGTGAAAACTGCAGCAAAAAATACACGGTAAGAGCAACAGTTTTGTGAAGATGGTTGAGTGGGCTTTAGCTTTCTTTCCTCTTACTCAGAAACACAAAACTATTAACATTATGGTACCCTCACCATGATCTTTTTAGTATAGAGCCCAAGAGTTTACTCCAAAAATAATCTTCCTTTTTTTTACAATTTTTCTTCACCTTTGTTCTGCTGATGTTCTTTCACAAATTCAGAATTTAAAGATACATGAGATTAGAAATAATACTATCTTTTCCAGTCTGGGTTTTTGTATAGTCTTATTTTTTCTTCTTAACAACTTTATTGAGGACTATTTACATATAATAAGTGGCATCCATTAAAAGAGTACAAATCCATGACTTTTGACAATGAATACACCCATGAAAGTGAAACGGGATTTTTGGACTGAAACCTGAATTCTTTGTACACCAGAGTCAAAGAATGAATCCATGGACAGAAGATGGTATAGCAACAAGTACAGACTCCCACCTGGGGAGGGAGAAAAGATCCCACAGACTTCCTGTTTCCATGGTCTATAAAGGCTGCAGTTCCTGTGTCCTGATATCTCCTCTGATTGGTCAATATTCCCTTTCGAATTGGTTACTATAGTAACTCCTGAGGTCCTCCTCCCTCATTGTCCTCCTATTCCTTCTGGGCTTTCTTCCTCCTTTACTATGTAAATATAGACCTCTTGGCTACTCCCAGAAACCCTTATCTTATACAGATGTAACTGTTGTCTCTCCCTTGTGTTATAAAGACTTAACCATGCCTGGCTTCCTTGTGTTATGGAAATGTACCTTCTCCCAATCTGTAGCCCTGTGTTTTTTCCATGGACCCTAATTCTAAAAATTTCCTAAACCTGCCTATATTCCCCCTAAAATTCCTG